AGGGTCGTTTGGGGACCCTGTGGCAGGTAGTGCACCAGGTCACTATATTCAGCCTGCATGTGTGGATGGTCCTGCAAGAACCCGTCACCCTTATAATCAAATGTCATGTGCTGTTGTCGGTTTCCTCGGAACTGATCTGCTTGACCCTCATACGTCGAATTCGACGGGAGAGTCGAGTATATAATGTGGGGTGTATCAAAAATACTTTTACAAACTTTGGGGGGCGGATTCCTGACGCCATAACAAGGACAAAAATCCATGTAAAATCCGGCCATTTGGTGTACATTTGTGGCTAGTCTGTCTTCAATGTTTAACGTGTGTCGTAGTGAGTTCACTGAGAAATGTTCCGTTTAACAATGGCAACACGGCGGCATCAGATTGCGTTTGCAGAGCGAAGACAACCGAGTCATTCAACATTTGTTGCTGTTTATCGGCGCGTTGACAAGACTGGATCCGTGGTACCACAAACTTTGGATCGCGGAAGACCGACATCCACTCGTACCTATGACCTCCACGAACACATTCTGCGGGCTAAACTTGAAACTTATAACTAAAAAAATGTAGGCTTTGACAACATATGTTTATATAGATTTTTGTCCTTGTTTTGGTGTAAGGAACCGGCCTCCAAAGTTTGTAAAAGCATTTTTGAGACACCCTATATATATATATATTAAGACATTTTTATGTTTATACATTCTTTTTATGGATAGAAATATTTAAGTAAATGCTCTGCTTATAATAAACAGTATTAAACAACATTGACCGGCCTGAATGTCCGAGAAATTGCCATAGAAAATATTCGTCCTCCGACAGTAATCGAACCTGTATCCTATACGGAACCGTCATTTAGCCAGGCGTGCTTTTACCGATTTAGCCACGGAGGATCGTTCGGTTACCAATTGTATCTATAAAAAGAATTTATAAACATAAAAATGTAAAATAATTTTCGGACTTTGTCCATTTCATAATGTGTAACGTCATTTGTTTACATTTGCATACACCATGAGCAGATATGAATGTACGCGAGAAAATCATGGAGAATTGTAGTTTAAAGATAGTAAAATCGACCTGGCTAACCGAACGCTCCTCTGTGGCCCAATCGGTTAAAGGCACGTCAGGCTATATGACTGTTCCGTATAGGATACAGGTTCGATTACTGTCGGAGGACGAATATTTTCTATAAAAATTTCTCGGACATTCAGGTTGTTTAATGTTGTTTAATACTGTTTATTATAAACAGAACATTTACTTAAATATTTGTATCTCTAAAAAGAATGTATAATCATAAAAATAATTGTCGGACTTTGTCCATTTCATATATATATATATATATAATTAAGAAAAATTTCAAAGAAAAACCTTACATTTGAATTTTCCAGTTATAAGCTTAAATTTATTCCGCAGTTGGTTTACACTGCAACTTCAGTAAAACAGTCTGAAACCAAATGCGATATAAAATTTAAATTTGTAAGTGGAAAATTCAAACGTAAGGATTTTCTTTGAAATTCTTATTAATTAATCATACTGCTCTGTATTTGTTAATATTCTCATACATTGAACTCTCTACTAGGAGTTTTACTTGGATATTCATTCATTTTTTAAGAACTACTCGGGATTATCCACATAACCGATGGATCATATATATATATATATATATATATATATATATAATTATTGTCTTTTTGAAAATATGATTCTATCGCGACACAGAAAATTTCCATGTTTCAAAACTAAAACTAAATTTATAAATTTAATTATAAAAATTAAACTTAAAATCCAGGCTCGCTCCATTGTCAAGCGATGTTAGCAATAAACTTGAAAAAAATCTAGTTAATTTATAAGCGCAGAGAATTTTGACATTATTCGTTGATAAGGTTAAGGAAAATCTATTTTAATTTAGAGGTGGCTGGGTTTTTATTTTCTTAGACAGCTTATGTATCCAGTATAGGTTGCATACAAAGTCAGGTCAAGTTTAGGTTTGATGGAGGCGTGTCTGTTAACAAACGTATACTTCCGGTATTCTGTGAGTCGTCTGGGTTTTCAAAGCACTTTTTTGTTTGTTTGTTTTTTTTTTTAAATAAAATTAACTACTAAGAAGAAAGGGTTACATATCTTACAGTTCTTTCTTATTATTTTAACGCACACACACACACACACACACACACACACACACACACACACACATATATATATATATATATATATATATATATATATATATATATATATGTAAGCAAATATATGGATATAGATCCGACAGTATGAAGAAAAAATATACTGACAAAACAAACAAAAATCCTAATATGCAGTATGCTGTTTTAATGTTTAATGTCATCGTCGGACGTTTCGGTCTAATAGACCATCTTCAGGACATATTCATAAAACATAATTAACATAGACCATATACAATTCAACATGAAAAGACGATGGACATAAAAGCAATACCAATCCAAACAGATAACTGAATGTATATATATATATATATATATATATATATATATATATATATATATATATATATCGTCCTGGGTATGACGACTTGTGTCGAAACACTATGAAAGTAAAGACACCAGCAATATATTTCCATTGCAAAAAAAAAAAAAAAAAATTACCAGCAATACATTTATTTGTGAAAATTAGAGGATTATCCACATAGTTCTTAGCGAGACCCATCTTTCTTTGAACAGCGTGTACTGGCGCTACAGAATCCTAAACAAAGAAACTGTAGCAAATAAGAGAAACCACATCCTTGGAGGACTTCCACCAACGGCGTCGATTAATGTAATTCGAAATGTAAATAGTTAAACCGCTGATATTCCACGCTGCTTAAAACAAAAGGTGATGTAGTAAAACCACGTCGCTACTGGATAGTCAGATTATCGGATCTAAGAAATCTATTTTCATAAAAGTTTCTTTTAGAATTTCAATTGGCTGCTCGGTCCATGAGAGCCGAGTATTTATTTATGAGAAAACGGCTTATATTACCATTGCCATTAGCATATGCCGCGTAACAATACGTTAGGTCGATCCCAGATTCAAACAAAAGGTTATGTAGTAAACACCCATCACCATTGGATAGTCAGATTATCGGACCTAAGAAATCTATTTTCATTAAAGATTTTTTAGAATTTCAATTGGCTGCTCGGTCAATGAGAGCCGAATATTTATTTATGAGAAAACGGCTTATATTACCATTAGCATATGCCACATCACAGTAGGTTAGGTCGATCCCAGATACCTGAAGCACTATGTGTAGAGTACAAGTCGCTTTACAAGATATACCAAAGTTGTTTTATTTATTCTGATTCTAATTTGAGGGCGAAATTCTCCCAGAGTTTGAAAGCTCCCCTTAAACAAAATACCACAAGTAAATTAGATTACCAATGACGAATATTTAATAGTAATCGGATATAAGAATATTAGAATCGAGAGCAGAGACATACGAAGCTTGAAATCTTTCATCAATCATTTAATCCTGAAGTTTTATTTAATTACACCAATCTATTACCAACAATAACAATTATTTCTTTATCCTGTTTGCTTTCAGTAGAACACTGATTTTCCGTGTATACTCGTGGATAGGTCGAGGTTTCAGTTATTTTTCTACTTACGCCAGGGTCGACGATTACATCGTAATGAAGCGTTAGCGCCGATTAAATAGAAACACGATACATAAATAACCTTTTTTCCCTCCAGTATTTCGTCAGTTACTCTTAGCCAGTCTGTGGAATGCGAGTGGACCTGGACGTCTCTAGTCTAATACGTGGACCCTACATTTCAACCTGCGGTGTGTGAGAGACTGCCTAAAAGATCTCGCGAGCTTTTGTTTATATATCCGTATGTCGAACATTCTCGTTTGCATGCTTGCAATACTGGACGCTGGTGTGTAACGTACACCTGCATTCGGTCGCTGGGGGTTAACCAAAGGTCAACCTTCTGGTGCACCCTGCTTCCTTGACGCCTAGTGCCAAATTTATTCCTACAATTATAGAAGATACAAGGTTTGGGTTAAAGATAAATATCGCACGTGATTTTTACATTCTTACTAGTATACTACCCGTAAAAAATGACGAGATCATTTACGTATGGATTACTGACTTCTGCCTAGGATGAAAGTATAGTATCCGCCTTCGGGCGTACAAACTACATTTTATATCTCGATTATTGAAGGTGTCGGGTCCCAGAGGATTCGAACGCTACGGCTGCATCTAACTCATTGTACTAAAGAGGAAGAGGTAGTGGAATATCGACACCAGCAGGGCGTTGGTTACGGGAACTGATCAGGCTATGTACACTGGTTTGGGCTCCACACTTTTAACCAGCCATGTGCCATATTCCGCCTCTGTGTAGTACCTACGATGTGTGAAAAGAATCATAAACACACGTTCTGTTGAATGTAACATACAAAGAATAAAAGTGAAAAAGCCACACTATAAAAGTTTTTTAATATCTGTCTATATTTCTGAGATGAGGTATTATGTACACTATTCACATTATTTGGACTATTGACCTCATCTTTGTCGCAATATTTATTACAACGTTTCGGCCGTTGTACTCTCCGGTCTTCTTCAGATGGTTGGAATGTCGAACTGAACCCATTAAGTCACTCACTGGGGTAGACTGTTCTGCTTCCATATGCCATGTTTAATGGATGTCAATTATTAGTTATCTCTTTTTAATTCCCGTCTCCAAGTTAACCAGGTATTGAACTCGCGCTGTTTGGGTCCCGTCACTGGATCTAACTAACGCCTTTATCCACTGTGCCATGTGTCCTTGAGGATATCTGTGTATGAAAAGATTTAATTATAATTCCTCATCCTGACAGCTACTAGTTAGTCTTAATTATAATAATGAAATTAATAATTAGTTGAATAGTAGTCAAAGCGGAGACCGATTTTAAACTTTAAGTCGGTGGCTGGCGTGTTAACAATTTGCAACATGCAGTCTAACATATGGTTAACTCGTTCTCAGAAAAATGAAATACCCAACCAGTACTGGGCTTACGGTCGTATCACGCTGAATCACCAGTTCTCGTCCGATCAGTAAATTTAAGCAACATTGAGTCTGGTCAGTACCTAGATGGGGTGACCGCTTTGGAATACCAGGTGTTATAAGTTTGGATGTCCGGATGGTGTAATAGATAACGGCTCTGAATTGGAGTTCCCATAGCCGAGTTCCAATTCGACTTTCACAAAATATCCTTGGGATAAGTATGAATCCACCTATTTCCCCCCGCGCTATAGGTTAATTAGCGGGTCTTCTATTAGTAAAAAAAAAGTAATTATTATCTCTAAAAGAATTCTCACAATCTAAGAATGTTTTCTGGCTTTAAATAATCAGAAAAAGGATGGTAGGATCTAAAAAATAATCAGCCAGTCTATATGAAAATTATTATTAGATAAAGTTGTTTTACGGATTATGGTTCCACTTTCAAAAAGCTAAGCAAAGTATTAAGAAACAGGAAAATTCTCGTTAGAAACAAAGAAAAGAGCACTGAATTGTTATGTAATATCTGTCCTTCTATATGGCAGTGAATGTTGGACAATCTCCTCACAGACGAAGAAGAGAAGAAAAAATGGTGGTTCTACAGCAGGAAGCTGAGAATACCATGGACCGAGCTTGTGAACGACGACGAAGTTTTAGAGAAAATTAAAACGAAAAGGACACCTATATCTAACATCAGAAAGAGAGGGTTGACATTTCTAGGCACATGATCAGGAAAGATGGCTTGGAAAATTTGACACTCACAGGACAGATTGAAGACAATTGACATATAGAAGCTAACAACGCATAGCCTGCATAGCGAGCTTGAGAGAATGGATGCCAGAACAAGGTTTCGGCGAAATAAGGAAAAGACAACATTTATCAAGTGCTACAAAGCATAGGAAATTGTGGAGAGACGTGATCACTAACATCCTAGAGGGACACAACAAAAAGAATAAAAAGCATAAGAAGTTCTCCTTATGTTTAAGTACCAGGAGACAAAATAGGCATCACTGGCCATTGTTTGAAAAGTGTTTCGAATTGCATTCAAGCAACAGTTCAACATGCGTCAAGTTGGATTTGGTCGAGATCAAAACAACAAGCAAATAAAATGCGCGCAACATCACGACCTAATGTGCGCAAGTGAAATATCTGCGTGGTGGTTTATAATAATATCTGCGAACGCATCAGTAACGGAGGCGTTCAGGAAATATTAAACCTTCATAACGGATACAAGCTGCATTCGACAGTCTTCAGCGAAAGGTGGGTGACTGAGGCTAGCCTGGTTCGTTTGAACGGGGCTAGCCTTGATTTTCTCTTTTAGGTATAGAATCGTCCATATTTTCTACTCCCCCCCACTCTTCCATCGGAATCAGTTTTAACCAACCAACATCTCACATTGCAAAACTCGATTTTGTATTAGTCTAGACGACACCAAAATGTGTAACAATTGTCGAATATCTATTTTCGCGCCGAGTTCACTGGAGCCTACTTTGGATTCCAGAGACAAATAAAAAGGACCATTTCGACCCAATTCACCAGTCTGTCACTTAACTTCAGAGAGATGTCACACGAATCCACGCGTGTCGCTATTTTGATTTAAGAAACTTTTCGCGCGTCAACTGCTGTCTCAAACACCAATATTATTCCCTCAAAATTCACTTACAACTTTCTAAGAAAAGTGTTCTAACACATTACTAACATGTAAATTGTATTTCAACAAAAGATAAACACAGAACAATCCTACAAACACTTTCCTGGTAATTGCTCCGATGAGCTGCATTCGCTGGTTCCCAGACTCCATGAATTTAAGCGCCCTACGAGGCTGGCATCCGCTCCCACCCTTACACTGTAGAAACTTTTAAATGTAGCCGTCTCTTCTACTCCAATAGCTTCATACCTCGCACCTCTTGCCTGTGGAACTCCCTTCCCAATTACTGTTTCCCTGAGAGCTATAATCTCCAACTATTCAAATGTAATGTCAATCGACATCTCCAGTTACCTTGATCTATCCACTATCCTTCTCCTCATCCTTTCTTCTATCACTCCTATCTGCTCTTGCTCCAAATCTTCTGCAACCCCCTGCATCCTAGTGCAGCATCCTTGCTCGGGGCGTAATGCTTAAAAAAATAATTCTGTATAGGTAACATTTTCCATTTTACTCTGACCAATTCTTTAACACTTGAATAATTTTGAACTGTAAATCAATAAAACACTCAATTTATACATGGTCAATTCTTGTATTATCAAACCACAAGTTTTCTAATTGTATATTAACTGTACATAAATGTCTGTTGTTTTTATTGAAACCTAAATTACCGGTGTTTCTTACTCCATTGCCCAGAGATTGATTCATTTTTGAATGTCTATATTCCATATTGTTGTGGATTAATATGGTGAACATGCCCGTAAACTAACCATCTTAATATTGAAACCTTCTGATAACAAATTCAAGCTCATAGCAATCCCAACATAGGTCAGCCTATGTCACATCGAGTTGGTTTCCTGCGGAGCCCTCCCCTTCGTTAGGTTAGTTAGACAAGCTTTGTGTACCCAGTTAATATGAGTAAGTGTTGTTCCAGGCCTGTTTCCGGATGCATCTTTGGTTATGATCCAAGTCGAGATTCCCAACCTCCCCAGTTTGTTTTGGCCTTTTATCTCGACTGGGTCAGCTTTTTCTTTCCCATGCCCGTCTATATTTTATCTTTTTCCCACTCCCGTAGTGAGAGAGCTTCTTGATTTTGTCCACTGGGCAGAATACAGCGGCCTCTCTTTTTTTGCGGGTTGGACGGGCCCTACTAACATCAGTTATGTTTAGTTCACTTTGTGTTCATGTTTAGAATTGTTATTAGTTTCCATCTCTCTTCCCTCTCATTTTTCATCTTTAGAATTGTATATATAGTTTATTATAATTAAATTTTTATGGCATGGGGCGCGTTTTGTAGGTCCCCCCTTGAGAGGATGTGGTATTATAGTGTATGGAGGATTGATTGGTGACGGACGAGTTTTTATGGTGAATGGGAAAATTGTAAGGAGTGAATGGGTCGGGAATCGGATTAGCTAGGTATAAGATAGATAGTGAAGACCAGCCTCAACTCTCCCCTTTTTCGGCCTTGTGCCATAATTGTATTTTTATATATATTAAATAAACGGATAGAAGCTGCAAAGAGGAACAATCGTTTTATTTATTTCATTACGAGAATTTACAAAAAGGAACAATCAATTAGCTTATCTTCCTACCCTACCTTGTGACAAAAGCTGCTAGTGGCACCAGGGGTGGCGGTCCCGCCATACCCACCGAAACCGTGATATTACCTCTGGTCAGCGGCCGATGAAGACAGGGTGTCGCACGTGCTAACACACGTTGTATGTTAAAAAATGATTATGAATGTCAAATATTTTATAAGAATCTGATATAATCATAGCATAATTGACTCTAGAGGCACACTAAGCTTGTAGCCTTTCACAAATCAATTAATCCTGGAGTTTTATTTAATTATATCGATTTATCGCCAATAATATAGGTTATCTGTTAATGCGATTTTGTTTCTCTTATTTCGCTTATTTTTCGAATATACGCGTATAAAATAAAAGGTAAAAGAAACAAAAAGAACTTGCTTTTCAAGTTAAACTTAGGGGGGGGGTACCAGTTATCTGTAAACTTGTAAAAAGCCACTCCTAATAAACACGATATCTTTTTTACAAGCAACGCTAAATCAAATTACTCTCAATATATTTATACTTTCACAACATTCAATCTAATTTTAAATGATGCTTTCGAAATATTTTTGCTTTGTCGTTTTAAATCTGTCGGAAAGTTATCAATGAGATGCGTCAAATTGTCGCTGTAAAATTTTAAGCAGGATCGAACCAGCTGTATTTCATAGATGCTAGCCCAAAACGGGGAAAAATCAACACATTATCAAATATTTTAACCTTTGCAGGTCAGTGAACTCAATACAAACGTTTCGTATCTTCGGCTAGCAATTAAGGACAAATATATTTGTAGATTTTAAGGTGCGTCTAACTTGAACATAAAATGCTGTGAAATGCAATAGGGAAAACTTGCATGTATTTCAACACAAACTGCATCAAGATTTTTCTGATTAAAAATCAGATTGCAAGTTTTTTGTCTTTTTATTTTTTTCAGTGACGTTCACATGAGTGCCACTCGAGGTAGAGTGTTACAGTAAGAGGTAGTTTATGCGGATAGTAGAGGAAGATGGTTCTAGAAACATTCGCCGTAAACATTTTTTGCCGTAGGAAAACTCGCCTCAGAAATTTGGTCGTAGAAAACTTTGCCGTATAGGATTTTTGTCGTAAGACAATTTCGTCGCATTTTTTTCATTATGCGAAGTACCTTGTTATTAAGTATATCTGGCTTACACCATTGTTACTTCGATTTAAACATTTTAATAAGTGAAGTTATAGGATGCACCCAAATTTTTGAAATTTGCGTATTTGAAAAAGGAAGAAGCATTAGCAAAAAAGAAAAAGTAAGATTTAGATCAAGGAGCTGCATTACAAATGAAGAAAAAAATATATATACTAGCAGCATGGCCCGGCGTTGCCCGTGCTTGATTCAAAAATCGTACGACTCATACAGCAATCGCTATCACTTGACTTAAAATATTTTTGCCCTTCCTTGCCTTTAAAGGAGTGCCCTTTGCCGTGTTGATGTTGCTACATGCCTTACTTCTTGCCTATCTCACAATGCGAATTTTTTCTAAGCTCTATACTAAACATTAAATCTGTTACAAAAAAAGAACTAAACAAAATGAACACAAAATGATCAGCTTTAAAAAAAGGACTCGTAACTGGAAAAACCGAATGAAAAAAGAATGTTAACAACAAATACTTTTTCACACCCAAACCAGTTCTACGGAATCAGAATCAACGTTGAGTTTAAGCAAGCGAATGAGCCAATTGGAGTAAAGTGCCATGCAGATTTAAATTTTTCCCCACTTGTGACGAATGCAGCTATCGATTTTTTTGCATGCTAGCATGCTAGTTAACATTCGTGTCAGTCAGCTGTTGGCTCTCACGCTGGCCAATAGAATCCAGTACAAAATGGCCGCAAACTACATGAAAACTGCCGTAGAAGCATGAAAAAATCGATTATTTTCACT